AACATGAAGTTCATATAGTCGGTCTATCAGGAGAGTCATGAAGTGAGCCTGCCAAGTTAGAGACCGAACTGGGTCAAAGGCCATAGAGTTATTGTTTGATGTTGGGTTGTAGGTGCCATAGTAGAGAAGCTCACCAAAACACTAAAGCCTTCATTTTCTGAAGGAGCAGAAGGGTACAGCCTTCTCAGAAAAGACTCACAGCCAGCTAGCTCACTCCAGTTACTTTGTTCAGACAATGAGAGGGTTAATTGGGGCTGGGAAAGGCTCCACCCACCACCGTCTTCTTGCTCTTGCTGCTCATGAGAGCAGACAACCCACACAAACCTCAGCCCCTTCTGATTATGACGAGCCGTAATCAAACTCCAGGTCTGCCCTGAGTGTCTTCGGACCAAGGTCAGGGCCGCTGCAAGCTCTCACATAGCATCAGGTGCAGGTTCTCCAGAGAAACATTTCTTCAAGGTTCAAACCGTCCCAAAACAATTTCTCAGCCTCTACTGATTAACCCAAACACAGCAAAGCCTTTGCTGAAACATTTCTCTCAAAACCAGAACAAAGACTTTACATTTCACTTCAAGGAGGATATAAAGGCTTTACTTTACATTTCACTACCTAGAGTGACAACATTTGAGAAATGGTTTGTCTCTATTCCAGACAAAGTCTTCAAGTTACCCTTGAAATGACACCAAACTAATCTCCCTGGAATTGTAGTTGTAGACAGTTGTGAGCTGCCATGTGGGTGCTGGGAATTGAACCCAGGTCCTCTGGAAGACCAGCCAGTGCTCTTAACTGCTGAGCCATCTTTTTGTTTGTTTGTTTGTTTGTTTGTTTGTGGTGTGTGCGTGTGTGTGTGTGTGTGTGTGTGCGTGCGCGCGCGCGCGCAAATGCATGTGGAGGTCAGGGGGGAACTTGCTGACTGAGTTTGTCCTTCCGTCCTGAACTCAGGTCATCAGGCTTGGCGGCAAGTCCCTTCACCCCACCACGCCATCTTACCGGCCCCTTTCTTACTTTTCTTTTAGCAACAGGCTCTTGCGAAGTTGTGAAGGTTGGCCTTGCATTGTGTCTGAAGCCCAGGCAGGACTTGAGCTGATGGTCTTCCTGCCTCAGCCTCTCCACTAGCTGGGGTTATAGATGTTCACATTATGTCAGATGCTGTGATGGTAACTGCTATTCCCTTCCCTCCCTTCCAACATTTCACTGAAAACTAATGTTGTTGTTTTGTTTTTGTTTTTTTTGAGACAGGGTTTCTCTGTGTAGCTTTGAAGCCTATCCTGGAACTCACCCTGTAGCCCAGGCTGGCCTTAACTCTCATGCCTTTAGACATGGCTCCAGGATTTCTTTAGTAGTGGCCTGAGATCTTTTCATTTATCCTGGCGCTGAAGAACCTGAGAATGTAGGTGGCTTTGGAAAACACAGGTGCCTGCCCTGTGACCTATTCCAATACCTGGCCTTCGGGGCAGTCTGTCTTCATTCTCCCCATATGACTTCAAGGCAGGCTGGTGGATGAAGTTCCCACACCGGATTTTTCTCTTCACCTTGATCTGCTTTGAGGGAGAATAGGAAGAGTTAACGTTCCAATCCAGGCTGGGCATACTATTCTCTTAATATCAGGTGCAAAATGTTCCTTTCTTTCTGATGTAACACAAAAAGTCACTATGTTGACATTAAGAATAAAACAAAACAAAAAAGTCCATCGTAAATTTAGCAGTTTAACTAACCTAAGGTGTCAATTTTCCATAGGTTAATTAGTCTGGTTTCTGTCCACTATAGGTTCTTGTATTTCATGTGCAACATTCATTCATCTCATCCCAAGGTCCTCAAAATTCCCTGCTCATTATCCTACTGATTCAAACAAAGTCTAGAATCTCATCTAATTCATCTGCTCAGTTGTCCCAAATCTCATTAAGCCATCTAAATTAGGAATGTCTGAGAAGGAGCTACCCTGGGACAAAAGTATTCGCCCTTTGGGGACCTGAGAAAGTAAAGGAACAAAGTGTCTGCTCTTAAAATAGAGCAGGCACGAGAGAACAGCTAGAGAAAACCCAGCTTTGAGAGAGAGGAAAGTTAAAAGCAAAAAGTATAATTGTGTTTCAAGCACTTTACAAATATGGCCTGGCAAACCCAGGTTCGAAGGCCTGGGAACAGACGTAGGAGGTACATGGGTCAGTCCTCCGAGTCCTTTTGTCTGTCTTAAGTTGGATAGATGGTAGCCTTGGAGTAGACATTGATAACCATCTTTGTGGAGCCTTTCACAGCAGCAACAGGTTTCCAAATCCAGCTGCAGTGGGGAACAGTCTTGAAAAGCTACTTAAAAATCTATTTGGGAAAAAGGAGATGTGGATTCTCGTGGTGGAGTAACAAATCGAAGAAGGGAGAGATTGCGGCAGCGGTGACCCTCCTGTGCCGGGTTTCAGTGTGGGAACAGGAGGACAGTGGAATAGCAGCTTGATACTGTGCCATGTTGGTGGCCAGGACAAAATGAGACCTCGGTGAGGGCATCATTTCCAGAACACTGACAGTAGTGACGAGGGCAGGTGCAGTTGTGAAGCTTAGAATCTGCTCTGCAGGAGGAGCCTGCCGCATACTACTGCCATGTGACTGTCCCGTGGCTGTCCCCAGACAGATAAGAAAGCAGAACAGCTTCCTCAACAGCCGGCCCCTGGCTCTAACTCCCAGGCTAGTGGCTTTTCCTCCCCTCTCCACTAACAGTAGTAAGGACTGAACCCATGGTTCTGTCTCTTTTGAAGCTATTGAGGTATTGGCTTTGAACTCACTCTAGTCCAGGCTGGCCTTGAACTTGTATCCTCCTACCCCAGTCTCCTGAAGAGCTGGGATCACAGCCCAGTTCCACCAAGCCAGCCCAGCTAAGGGTCTTTTCCCAACATCAAGCTGCCAAGTGCACAGAGTATGTGGATAGTGGTCTGACCATCAGGGTTTCTTATAATCTCTAGTCTCGTTTATCCTCACTTCTAAGAAGTCCTTGGTGGGCCACATACACTTTCTTTTCTACAGGCCGTTTTGCAGAGTAGAGACAGGAAAGAAATCGGTGGCGGAGCAGGTACTTTCTGACTGGTCTCAGGTGGCAGACTCGGGCATCTCCACAATTCTGGAACCTGTAGGAAGAAACCCCACTTCTTCTCCTTCAAGTGTTTGCCAGAGCTCTGGGGAGTAATCAGATAGATGCCTGTGGTCTCAACAAGGGCCAGAATCTAGATGTGGGCTTTCTGGTCTTCAGGAGGCAGTGGCTACTGCAGGCAGTGGCTATAGCCAGAGCCAGCCTGCTAAACTTGCTTTCTTTCGGGTCTTCGCATGTGTAAGATAGCCCTGCGGCCCAGCCAGTTGCTAATCCTGCCAGGCAGGCTGGTAGCTAAAGGGCAGGCACGCAGCAGCAGCAGCAGCAGCAGCAGCAGCAGCAGCAGCAGCAGCGCTCCAGTGAACATTACTTGGTGTTGTCTTTGTTCCTGTTTCTAGCGGGAGATGATGTATTCCCCTCTTGCCCACCTACTTACCTGCAAAGGAGCCCACCCCCTTAGCCAGCCTTCTCTGGGGCTGCTGAACAGCTTTTTGGCCGCTGCAGGTCAAGGTCTTCCAGGCTCCCAGGACGAAGAAATGGCTCACAGCAGTTATGCTTGCTTGCTTATCTGTTTGTCCTCACTTAGCTCTGTCCGCAGCTTCCAGAAATGCCTTATTATGCTGATCTGGTCAGCGCAACTCAGAGCTGGGTGAGAAGGCCTTCCATGTCACTCAGGCCTACAGGCAGGACAACCTCACCAGGCCTTGTAGAAGTCAGCAATGTTACCACTTTTCCCCGGCTCCATATGAGCACTGGGAATAGTTTCTTGAGACAGTATTCCTTTCTTGGTGTCCCCTACTTGTGGTACTTTTTCTTTTTGATTGGCTAAGATGACCTAGCATACTCTAGCAGGAAGGAACACTGTTCAGGGGGGCCGCCCTGGTTCTGATGGCCTTTTACTTATTTATTTATTTATTTTAAAGATTTGTTTTATTATTTTTAAGTACGTGTGTGTGTGTGTGTGTGTGTGTGTGTGTGTGTGTGTGTGTGTGCAGGTGGCCATGGAGTCCAGAAGAGGGCATCGGGTTTCCTGGAGCCAGAGGTACTGTGATCTGCCTGACACAGATCCCAGCTCAGGTCCTTTGAGAGAGCAGCTCATGTTCTTAATTGCTGAGTTATCTCTCCAGGCCCTCCAGTGGCCTTTAGAAAATGCTGCCCAGGATGCTTAGGGAGGCAGATACTCTCTGGAGCATTGTGCCAAGACTTTATAGCGATTAAAGTTATTTCAGAAGCCCCTTCACACCATTCACTAGCTGCTTCTCACAGACAAGGCCATTACCACTCACAGAAGCAAGGGACTTTCTCCAGGCAGTGTGATGGGTACTGTGGCAGAGGGTAAGTAAGGGAGGGGTGGGGAGTGGGGAGGAGAAAGCAGAGGAGATGAAAGAGAGGAACGAGGAACAGTCAGAAGTACCAAGCAGATTATTTCTGTCTTGACCCATCCTGTCTCCCCAGGTCCTGGGCACAGGCGTTCTGATTTAGCCATTCCCTTCGATTTCTCCAAGTGTGGAGATGCAAAAGGAAAGGACTGAAAAAGAAAGCGTATGACGCTACAGAAGACCTTCCCAGAGAAGAACACATGCTAACAAAGTTAGCAGACAGGGTGCCGAAAAGCCATTCTGAGCCCAAGAGCAAAGGAAGCTGGGGTGAGGTGGCTTTTCTCCTGGTCACCTGCACTCGGTTCATTCAAACCCGTGTTTGGATGGCCCGGGAGTTCAGGCCAAGTCCTGAGCACTCGGGAGCTAAAGCAGCCTGTGGTCAGTGGGAAGATGAAGTGGCCCTCTTCCCAGATTCTCTTGGCTGCTGTCTTGGTATTTGAATTCATGAATAGTCCCAGGTACTAGAGCCAAGGCTCACAGAGAAATGCAACCTCAGCTGCTTCCTCCCGGAGAATCTCACCCCACCCCCACCCCAGAGTCTCAGCCGGTCTCTCTTCTCAGCTCCTGAATGAACCTGCATTTCCTCTGCCCAGCTGGGGCTCTCGCTTCCTGTGTGCTCTGACTTCACTGCCGTCTTCCCGGGGCATTTGATGGGCTCAGGAAATTACACCAGACGGAAGATGGAGCGGCAATCAATTAAAAAAAAAAATACGTTTCTAAGGAAAATGAATCTAGGCTTCGCAAAGAGTTATTTGTATACCATATGCCCTAATGTCCACGGCACTGTATATCTAATTTCTAGCTCTTTTCTCTCCCCTCCCCGTCTCAACAAGAAAGAAATCGATTTGTAATCTTCCGCTTCCCAGCATACTGACGATCCAGAAGCAAAGACTGCCTTTACTTCTAACCTGTTCTTCAGATACCACCCTCCCTCTTCTCCCGCCAGGCTCCGTTTCTCCGGGCTACTAGTTTAGTATATTCACTGTGCATGACTCATGAAGCTGCAGCCTGATTGGACGAAAACCAAGCGGCACCCCCACCCCACCCCAACCGGTCAGTCAATTACATCTATTCTCGGCTCCATTCACAGATTTATTAGCTCTCACACAACGAGGGAAATTCATTCGGCAAAATTCATTCATAAAAATTTCAACAGCCTGCGTATCATCCGCTCAGCTCAGCGTTCTGCTGTGCACAGGCTCCTGAAGGAGACTGCAGGAGGGTCCGGGAGGGAAGGGAGCCCTGAGAAGGGGTGGGCCGGCCGGGATCGGACCGGAGCTGCACCGAGGATGCCCGGACCTCAAGCCGGAGGAACAATGCGGACCAGCGCCCGTCGCTAGGACTCCTGGCTGGTGGCCCAGAACCAAGATCCTCCGAGAGAGGGCAGCCGTCATAACCCCAGCCCATACAGAAGGGCCTTTGACTCTTATGTGCTTTTTTATTTTTTCCCTTTGAAATGAGCAATCACGGAAACAAATAAAGGGTTAATGGGCCAGTCGCTGCCCCGCCCCGTGGGAGCTGGAGGGAGCAGGTTTGAAAGTTCCTATGCGCCGAGGGAAAGGGGATAACTATTTTTGCTAAGGCTAAAGACGTGGTAGCACCCGCTGCCCCAGCCTGGGGGACTCCGGGGTGAGGAACTCCCCCCTCCCCCCGCCCCGGGGCCTCTGCCAGGGCCGGGAAGGGACTGCCATCAGAGCCGGGAGGCATCTTCCTGGGCTGTCATCATTGAGCCGTCAGGGACCCGGGCGGGTGGCCTCCGGGGCAGAAGTGAAAGGTGGCTGTCCTGTGGGTCTACCGGACAGCGAAGCAGTTTAGGCTTCGGTGGCCCGTCTCAGCACTTCCAAGGCTATGCGAGAACGCAGCCAGGACAGCCAGGCAGGACTCGCTCTGTATGTAGGACTCTTTGCGCACCTGGGGATGCTTCACAGGGCCAAGTACAGCCGCTTTCGGAACGAGTCCATCACGTCTTTGGATGAAGGGAGCCCCGGAGGCTCGGTTGGAAACAAGGGCTCGTCGCCGCCTCCCTACCCAGCCCTGGCCCCTCACCTGCCGGCTGAAGATGCCGCTGTGCCCACCCAAGAGAGCCCCACTGCGCTGTGTACCTTGATCCCCCGTATGGCCAGCATGAAGCTGGCCAACCCCGTCACTTTTCTGAGTCTGAAAGCCTTTTGCCTGGGTACCAAAGAGGTGCCCCGGCTGAAGCTCCAGGAGAGCCAGGATCAAGCGCCAAGCACTCCAGCTTCCCCAGAAACCCGTCTAAACAGGACTGGGCCTGCTCCTACACCGCATCCGGACCAGGTGGGACACAGGGCCACCCCCTTGCCTCCTGATGCTTGTCCACTGCCTGGCCCTGGACAGCCAACCCCCAGAGGCAGGCAGGACAGGCACTCTGTGCAGCACCTGTTGGGGTCCGGTCTGAACTACTCTGTGAGGGTAAGTCCCTAAGGTCTGCTCCCTGGGCACTGGCAGGAGGGCAGCCTTGTTCTCGGCAGGGCTTTCACCTTACCTGGCTGGGCTCTAGGTTGCAAGAAGACATTCCTACCATTGTATCTGTAGAAGGGACTCGGCCGTACAGATTTCCTACAGGGACCCGGCATGTACCAGAGTCAGACCCTCTTTGCTCCAAGGATGTGAGCTCTTGCTGACCGGTAGGCAGCTGTTGGTGCAGACATATCTTCTCATAGAGACAGACAAGATGGCAACTTCTGGTCTCCTCTGGTCCAGTGTCAAGGATTTCTTGTTGGATTCATAGTTGAAACCTAATAGGTTATTCTGCTGCTATACTTGAGGTGAATACAGTAGAGATTTCGTGCTAAGATAGAGGAATGTGTGGTATACCAGAGACTGGACTTGGTTTATTATTTTTTTTTAACTTGACATTTAACAAGCACTTCTGAAAGCCTAGGAAAGTCCTGAGTGTTGTCTCTGGAGCTAGCCTGAGCAGTAGCCTGCACAGGAGGAGAAAGGCCTGATCCTGTGCATGTCTACAGCCCGGCTCCTCACTGGCATTGTGTCTGTCCTGGCCCAACCCTGAGTAAGTAGAGACGGAGCCTCTGTCTTTTAGAGCTCAGGTCTCAAGGTATGTGGTAACAGGAGGGCAATGTTCAACAACTGATGTATATTGTGAGGATACTTGGGGAGCTTGGGAAGAGAGGATGTAGTTGGGTTCTGAGATTTTTAAAAAAAAAAATAATTTATTTATTTTTATTTTATGTGCATTTGTTTCGCCTGCCTGTGTGAAGGTGTCAGATTCCCCTGGAACTGGAGTTGCAGACAGTTGTGAGCTGCCATGTGGGTGCTGGGAATTGAACCCAGGTCCCCTGGAAGAACAGCCAATGCTCTTAACTCCTAAGCCATCTCTGCATCCCCGGGGTTCTGAGATTTATGAAGTTGCCATGACAATGGCAAGTCACTGTGAGGCCTCCAGGGAAGCATGGGGTTTGTCCTGGAGAGTGAGAGAAGCAGGTGTGTGTTTGTGTGGGGCGGGGGTGGGGGGGTGGGTGGCTGGCACACAGTCTCAGGAACTGAACAAGTTAGAGCAGGGAAGAGACAGTGGTCATCAAGTTCCCCAAGGGCCAAATGAAGAGGCTATAAACTCTGGTGAGCAAGACCCTCATAGGTTCACAGGCAAACCACGAATATGGTTTTTAAAAGATCCACCTGCTGGTTTATTTAGCTCCTGTGGGAGCAGGAAGACATGCCCGGGACCAGTGAGACATGCCCGGGACCAGTGAGACTGTTTGCTGTTCTTCACGGAGGGTGTAGATGTAGGATGTAGGATGAAGACTGGTGAATGAAGAGTAAGACTTAACCAAAGTTAAGTCTTGGGTGACACTCACGGTACCAGAGACAAAAATGGAGTAAATTAGGAAAGAGAATTCCTAAGTTTACTTTTGACTTATCAGATTACAGCAGATATCTTATCAGAGGTGCTGGTATACCAGTAAGCAGTCTCCTCAGCTCTTAAAAAGTCAGAACAGACAGTAGAAACTGAAGTGTGAGCATTGCAAACCGACCACATAGCTCTCAAGGAAGGCTTAATGCTGGATGCTGGAAGGATTGCAAAGAGAACGGGGTTTGGGGGTGACTTGATACAGCCCCTAACAAAGATAAGCATGTGGAGCCCAGCTCCTGCCCTCCATAGGGAGCAGCACACCCTGGCCAGGCTTGCATGTTTGTGGAAGGTTCACAAGTGCTTTGCATTTGTCAAGCTGTAGGGAGCCAGCCCTTTATGGTTTGGAGCGACTCCCAAGTCTGTGCTCTTGGCACCTGCCCATTGCCTCAGCTGCCTACCCTCAGCCCCACCTCTTCTTCCGCCGCGCACCCCCTGCTGGCTCCTCACACTTGCATACCTGTCTAATATTAAGGGTGAAGAGTTGCTGGGTGACGTCCATGTTCCCTGGGAGGTACCCTTACCAGTGTTTCTGGGTTTTTAATGAGGAGGCCAGCTGTCTTCTCACGGTGATAATAACTTACCTCAGGAGAAGTGCTGACCCTGTGACCCAGATGAACGTTACAATATTGTGACCTGCATCTATGGTTTTAGGTGCCTTTTTCACAAAGCCTAAAATATCATAATGTTATAGATCCTAACTCGAAAAACAAAGGGATTATATTTGTCATGTTATCAAGTTAAAATGTCTCTGAGGAAACTGAATTCCAAAGAACTAATTTTTCGAGTCAGAAGAGTGAGGTCTGGACTCATGTCTCCTGTTTACCATTCTTAGCAATCTTCCCCACAGGGCCCCACCCTGGCTGGCCTTCTGTTCCCGAAAATTCTGTTGGGATGTGAACCAGTTTCTAAAAATGAAGCACCAACCTCTTAATTTTCAGTGAAAATAATTGTATTAGCAAGACACACCATGAATGCTGTACTCTTGTCTATGGGCACACGCATGTGGAAGATGTGAATAAAAGCTTGCTTGGAGCAATAGATTCAGGTCAAGGGATCAAGAGATGTCCTGAATGGCAAGTAGGCATGGGTCCAGTGAGAGCTTAGGAGCAAATTTTGTAGGCAAAAGGAGCCCCATGTTCTACATCCTTATCCACATATGTATTACCCTCTACTCCCTGTCACTCATTTGTACAACTTACACAAGTTGTGAACCAGTCCCATTGCAGGAACTGTTGTAGAACCTGGACATTGGTTAACAAAATAGACAAACTCTAAGCGTCAGATGGGTCTTCTCATCCCTGCGGAGCTTTTAATAGATAGACAAGTTGGTGTCCTGTTTCAAATGTCAGTGATGCCGGTGGAGAGTGGGAAAGCAGGGTAAACAGAAAGAAAGCCAGGCCCTTGGGTGGAGATGCTGTATCCTTTGGGTCGGGGTTAGCATTGCGATGGTATCTTCATTCATTGCAACAGAGACTCCGTTTTCTATCTACCCTAAGTTAGAGTTTTTGGGTTAAACAACCTTAAAAAAAATGAAATGATTCTTCTTGTGGTCTTAAGATGTAGAATTAGTAATTCTATCAAAAATTTTTCTATGACTCCTAGGAGCCTTTTTTTTTTTTTTTTTTGGTTTTTCGAGACAAGGTTTCTCTGTGTAGCTTTGCGCCTTTCCTGGAACTCACTTGGTAGCCCAGGCTGGCCTTGAACTCACAGAGGAGCCTATTTTTAAGGAACTTTCACTTAGCTAGAATTTTGATTCTCTTGGAAGGTTCTCGGGGAAGGTGGCCTAACGACCCATTCTTTGTGAGCTACCAAACTAGGAGTAGAACTGTAGTATAGGTAAAGTACTGGAGTGGGTGAAGTTCATCACATAGGGTCAAACGATGACTTCTGTCTTCACCATAGGACAAAGGCTCACCTCTCTGAGGTCTTCCCAAGGCACTCTAGTCATCAGTTGGTGCTCATGTTGGTCTGAGGTGCCCTGTACAACAGGCAGTGAGTGTGGGATCAAAAGGAGCAAGCTCTGAGTTCTTGAGAACCTTGCGCCAGCCTCTGATGACTCCAGGGCCCTTTCTTCCTTCTCTCTCCTTCAGAACGTCAGTTTTATTTCCCACCACTCTCCAACCCTAACAGAATTCAAAGACTAAGGCAGAAAGAGGCACCTTGGAGACCTCCACTAGTGGCCCTTGCAGAAGCCTGTCTTCTCTAAAACAGCCCACCTCTTACAGCTTCCGGTAACTGCCGGCAGTCCTGGGTGTTTGGCGGTGACAGGTGCATCCCTCTCCTCATAGCCACTCTTTTCATACAGCGGTCTTCCTTGGTGCCCGTGGCCAAATCCTCTCCTTCAGGAGCAGGAACAGCTGGATTAAGGCCTGCTCCTGTTGGGAGGACTCGTCTTAATTACACGTCTGCTCACATGGGCCTCACCACTGTTCAGCAGCTGTCCATGAGTTGAGGGGTTCCTTCCTTTCCTTTGTAGCTATCACAGGCTGCTCCTTTCCTGAGATGATCCCTGTCTAAGGATGTGTCTGATTTGTGAGCCAATAAGCTAACGCTCTGCATCCTCTTTGTCTGTTCTGGATATAGCCCACGATATTACCTGTGAACTTTGTGGGGAGCCCAGGACTAGAGTTACACCAAGGGCAGTGCTCCCATCTCCCAGCACCAGCACTCGGTGGCTCCAGGTCTCCTTTCTCTTTTTTTTTTTTTTTTTGGTTTTTCGAGACAGGGTTTCTCTGTGTAGCTTTGCGCCTTTCCTGGAACTCACTTGGTAGCCCAGGCTGGCCTTGAACTCACAGAGATCCGCCTGCCTCTGCCTCCCGAGTGCTGGGATTAAAGGCGTGCGCCACTCCTTTCTCTTTACAGGACTGAACTAAAGCAGGGGCTCTGATACCAACTGGCTGTATGACCTTGGGTGGGTCACTTCACCCCCGGGGCTTCTTTTGTTCCTGTTTAAAACCAGAAGTTGGAACAAAATGCTGTCTTGGAGCTTGAGTCAAGGCTTCCTTTCCATTCATCTGTATTATCAGGATCTCTGTTATTAGAGCTTCCTGAAGAAAATTATTTGTAGCTTCTTGGTGGCCATTTGAAGGAATGGCCTCAGGGACACAGTGGGTGGCTCTTGTCCCTTTCTGTGTGGTCCTCAGCTGGCTGCCACCATTGAGGCAGGAAAGGCATATTACTCCTGAGTGGAGCTGGTGGATGTAGAGAGGGTAGGGGTGGAGTATAGGGAGTGGGGGGGGGAGCAGGGCAATACATATGGGAAGTAGCTTCTCTTGAGACCCTTACACATCCCTTGACCTCTCCAGTTCTTTCACACCACTGGACAGTAGTGAAAAACAGTCATAGGGATCAATAAGCCTAAGCTCTTACAGTTGAGCAAACAGAGGCTTAGTTATAAGTAGCGCCTTGCCTCAGACCACACATCCCCTTAGTGGTAGAATCCAGATAACTGGCTAACACTCTGGTTTCCTAAGCTCGCCTTGCTTATTTCTCCTGGTTCCCTGCATTGGATGTTCTATTGCAGGTTGGCTCTACCTGG